AAACCTTTGTAACTGTGTAACTCATCAAACAGGGAAGGAGACTTCTCTAATGCAAAGGCTGGCTTCCTACAGAAGGGGAAGGAGAAGGCCATTGAGACCAAATGAGCCATTGTGAGACATGGAAGAACAGAGACTTGGTTAATTGCATTTCTCACCCCCTCTAGGAAGAGCAACCCTACGCACGAACTTGTCCCGTCTACGTGGGCTCTGGGGAGAAGGGGATACAAATCCTTGACAAAGAGAAACTTGTTGTCTTTGTGCCACTTGGACTCTAAAAGAGCAAGAATCAGTAGGCATAAGCAAAAGACCCCCAGCTGCTTAGTTTGGGTTACCCTAAAGGACATATGGAGTTTGCTTATTACAGAAGATTCTCTTATCTTTTGGAATCGAAGACAGTAACTCATTTGCATGTGTAGGTTACCTGCTTAAACAGTATAAATAACTCTCGTTTCTTTTTCTTAGTTAACAGATCTTTAGCTAGTTTATTACAGGATTGGCTACCAGCATGGTCTTAGGTTTGAGATCTGACATACAATTGCTCTGGGGTAAGTGACCGGTCCTTTGGGGCAAGGAGTAACCTGAATATTGTTGTGGTTTTTGGTGTAAGGGACCATCTATCACAAAGGCAAGCTTATCTGGGTGGCAAAATAGACCAGAGTGCCTGGAGGGGCTCTCTGGGACGCCATGGCGAGGTTGTTATAGTGCCTGAGGAGTTCATACTTCTAACTTGGGTGGTGAAATCTAATTATAGAGCACACAGCCAATTTGGGGTTTCTGCCCTTACTGTTTTCCAGCAGCAGGCAGCGCACACACATACATACATACATACATACACACACACACACACACAAACCATGTACTGTCGCTGTCTGTGATTGCCATGTGGAGCAGTGCAATGACACAGAGTAACTCACCTCAGCAGCAGGACCTGCCCTTGTGCTCCCACCGCGATGTCTGGCAGCCCATCGCCAGTCAGGTCTGTCCCGCCACTGACGGCCCGGCCAAAGTAGTGCAGCCTGCTGGGGAACAGTGACCCCTCGATGCGCTGTGGGGCAGAGAGAGTAGTAAGGGGTGGGGAAGGGCAGCTGTACTGTATAATGGGTAGTAGGGGCAGAGGAGGGCGAGGGATGGGAAGGAGGCGGCTGTACTGTATAATGGGCACTAGGGGGCAGCAGAGGGTGAGGGATGGGAAAGGGGTGGCTGTACTGTATAATGGACACTAGGGGGCAGTGGAGGGTGAGGGAT